CGTTTACTCTAACTAGAAATGAAGAGACGCAAAAATCTGGTGATTAGCAGGTAAAGCTTATTTGTCGCTCAAACTGCAGATGAAAATACCGAACCTTAAAAAGTTTCCAAAATACACTATCGAAACATCGTGTCGTCAATACTGAAATTGAGACGAGAATTTGAGAAGCAACTATGACGTTTTTGTCTGTAGCCCCTGGGATGAAAATTCGCTTAAGAATTAATAACATAATAATATGTTAATAATATGTTAAATTATGTCAATTTATATTTTAAATCATGTAGGCTATTTAAATATAGGAGTTTTTGAATAATTTGTGTTTTAAGATTGTTATGCGGTCGGAAATTCACAAAATGAAAGAAGCAACCAAGCTACATGACCATCGCCTAAATATAACGGTAATTCTTATCGTGCGGCATCTCTGCTGAACCTCATATGGCCCTCTTTCTCACTGGATGGAAGTCTCTTCAAGAAATATGTCCAGCGAAATCGCTAAGTAGGTCATTTCAGGTTATCCTCTTATTTTTCTCTGTATATATTTTTATGTGATCTAATTGATGGAAGGGTGGAATAACATCGGCTTACCATTTTCCCTTGTAAACGCTGTTTTGAATTGAAAATTGAAGACTTCCAGTTTATTTCATGGGTGAATTATTCAGGCGTTGAATTTTTTTGAGATATCAAATTGATATAACAGATTCATTTTATGTATTAAATTATTTCTATGTTTTGTAATACAAACAGTTCTTTGTCGCTTCTGAGTCATATTAAAATGCGTTTCTTTTTTCAGGTAAGGATAATCACCGTTAAATTATGAAGTCGTATGCATACAGGGGTAAGTCTTATTCTTTTCATTCTCGAGTATAATCGACCGTTTTCTTATGTCTCAACTCGCTCGTTAGTGTAGAATTCACGAAAGCAATTCCGAATTGCGAGTTCAACACCGAATGAAAATTTTGTAGTTTTTCACGCATTCAATAGTAATGTATTCCATCCGTTAATTATTTCCGATATTTTTTTCAATTTCTCAACAAAAACTGGTTCTATGGATTTACTGTAAACTATAAAATGATGCGAAAAGCTGGAGTGCTATAACAACATTTTTTTCCAATCTGATCACTTTTTTGTTCATCGTATAAATAATAAAAAATTCGAACCGGAATGACAATAGAGCGTTAGTCGATTTCCTATAATGATTGCCTAACAGTTTATTTTCACGCTATTACTATATAAATCTCTCACAAACAAAAATCCATATTCCGAATATCTAGTCGATAATTCACCAACATATCGTGTCGTAATTCCGATTAATTACTAATCTATGACGCGGATCCGATGCGTTTTCCAGCACGCCGTCGTGATTGAAAGACCAATTTGTCTACCTACATTCCTGAAAAGTCCACAATGAAACGGGAGCATCCGACCCTATGAAAAATGTAAAACACGGTCATAGCTCGGTTTATATGGGATAGGTAGCGTATGATATCAGTTTGCTGCTTAATTTTTAACGAATATCGAAAATATGGAACGTGTTACGTATGTTTTGCTGTCATAATACCTGTACCTGGTACTTCATTTGTACTGGTGTACAAGCTTCTGTGCTTCAAATCTCAGGTTAGGTGCATGACTTTTGAGTTTAGTTGATAATATTGATTTAATTCGTGGTAAGGTACAAGATAACGAGTCATTGTCAGTTGGAAATGGTTAAACAGTAGGGTTCAATCTAATGACTACTGAATTTATCAAGCACAATTTGTCGAGACTAACTCAGAATTGCCGTTAATGGTGTTATATTGAGTAATATTGATATGTGAGAATGAACTCTATTGTAATTAAAAATGAATTTGAAGAACATGGAAGAAATAACAATGAAGGGTTACCCGATGAAGCAATTATATAATGTATCGATTTGAATCAATATCTGGGAATTCTTTAAGAAGTATTACTTTCAACTGATAAATGAAGACATTTCATTTGAAGTAGGTAATGAATTTTATGGATATACAGTGGAGGAAACAGAACTTTTTTACATTAACCCAAAATTCCTTCAACCAAGATGATTTCTCAGTGAACTGGTCTATATAAAGTTTGTTTTTTCTTTGTTATATTTGAAAGGAATTTCTATGTACAAAAATTGAAATTTTCTTATGTGATAGGGTAATTCTATAAACATACCTATTCTTGTTTTTTCTTCTTTTTCATTTCATGAAAAAGCATTTGACTTCAATTCGTATGAAATGATCTTTGTTGAAACCCTTTTTGGTCTATTTCATACTCTTAATTCATATTATCTTCAAAATTTCGTTCAAAATTGTTTACTGATTGGCTCCATAGTTCAATTTAGGTGATTGTATTTTGTGTACGCGATAGGTTATTTATTATCTATTTCATGCAGTAGATCAATCTCGCAGAACGGCGGGATAGGAATAGACGTTTGTTGGCTTAATTCGGTATCCAAGTTTCCCAGTCAGCGTTTGTTTCATATTACATCAATCAGAATTTGTCGATGTAGAGCACATTTCGGGCCGTTTGGCTCGATTAAGAGTATAAATGGGTACGCATAAAGCCATTGTCGGTGTCTCGATGGATCATTTGTTGATTCAACGAATAATTCAGTTATAGCCAGTACAAGGTTCGTTACATGGTGCCAATATCAGATACATAATGGATGTGTCAGAGTGGGAACAAAATTCATTGAAAAATGTGAACTCGTAGATGTGGATTTGGTGATCCACTCTATCTTCACTGAAAAAACACTATCGTGAGTTCGTAGCAGTTATAGATCTCATTGACTAGACTCTTAGATTGTGACGATTCCGAGGAGTTTTACAGGTGTTGTCGACAAAACGAGGGTTCTAGGAGGTTTGAAGTGTTCACATCACAGCTTCAAAATATACATATATAGGGTTTTCCATTAGAGACCATTATTTCCATTCGAGATGCCATCAACATTGCTATTCTACTTTGGTTGACAGTTTATAAAATGGGAAAGATATAGTGTTGAACAAGGCGTCCAAATAATTCAGCTTTATCATGAAAATGGACGTTCAAATTTTGGGAAACACGCAATTTTTATGGTTCACTTAATAAACCAAATGGATGAACAATATTGAGATTAAAGCAGAAGTTTGAGCAAATTGGTTAAGTTTTGAACGTGAGAGCGCCAATTCGTCATTGTCCAGGTCGTTCACAAGAGAATATCGATGCAGTTCGTGAGTGTGTTGAAGATGATTCCAGAATGTCAATGACACGAAGTTTACAACATCTAAACATATCACAAACAACTTTATGGTGATTTTTGCACAATGATTCATCATTAAAAGCTTATAAAGTTACAGGTTAACATGACATTTGGAGATGTTGACTTCAATTTGTTGAAATCACACTTATTATTACGCAAGTTTCTTGCAATGCGTTCACAGTCACCAATGCTGGAAACATAATGAAAAATCTCAAGTTCATCTGCGAACAATAAATCCTCAACATCAATGACATCGATTATATCATTTATGAACATTGTAAAAAGCAAAGGACCAAGTATGGAACCTTGAGGCACTCCAGATGAAGCACAGTATTCAATTGATGTATACCTTCGGCTAAAAACGTGTTGCTTTCTGCCTATCAAGTACGATTCGAAAAGTTTGATGAGATATGTCGAAAGCCCGAAAGTGCCTAGATTATTCAATAGGATACCGTGGTCAAGCCTGTCAAACGCTTTAGAGAATCGTCCCTCAGCAATGTACTGAGTGATACTGAGTTCATATAAAAGTTGATTTTTTTAGCAAGATGCATGAAGTATATGTGTGAATATTTTCAGTTTCGTTTTCATGTTTTTTTCTCCTATTTAGTTTGCCCAATTCATTTTGTTGTGATAACAATTAAGTTTGTTTTCTGGTTAGGTTAAGCAGCCTCTGTTGTATGCATTATTTGTACTTTAAAATGGTGCTGAAGTGATTTTCAGATATGTATTATTAAAATGACTAGATCACATATGTGCATTGGTACTTCTGAATCTAAATATTGATAAAATGCTTTCATTAATATTATAATTTTTGGAGCCAAGTCGGCGATAATAATTTTATTGATTTAGGTTAATGTTGCTTGATTTGTCCGAAATTTCATGATATATCGTAACATTCAACCATTTCGGCAGGGTTAACACATTTAATAATTCAACTAGAAATGCATATTTGTATATTCGAGTCGTGTATGTATTATAATTTTGCATAACTTCATGTCATCGTGTTCCAAACGAACCTATATTAAATTCTTGCTTGACGCGTGAATCGCAAACGGCCATGATTGCCTCCCTTTATCAAATTTACCCTAATACTGAAAGTTTAATCGACCCCCGCCGTCTGTGAATAATGGTTATAATTGCTATTGGTCGTTATCTGGAAATTAATCGAATAGTTCTTAAGTAGTTGGTGGAATAGTCATATCTGATAATAATAATAATATTAATAAGTTTTTCTAACAATGAGCTATGAAAAAATAATTACAATAATTGAAAAAATATTCGCATAAAATGATAACATACCGAGATAAGACTTCTACAATAAAATGTATCAGAGGTTCTCTCAAAACTATAATTCGCACAGTACCCCATAGACATTGGCAAATTATTAAATACAATGAAACCTCTTTTCGTTGTAGATTTTTAAATAAAATGTGTATTGCACCTATTCACTCGAAAATTTTCTATTGAATAATTAGGTAACACATTTTTAAAAAATTTAAAAATATTTTATATATTGTCCACTACAATATTGCTAGTTCTCATCGATCTGATGAAGGTATTGTATACCGAAACAATATTGTAAATATTTTTGAAATTTTTGTTTATTTTAGTAATACATTTTTTTCGTCTTAAGCATATAGCTTAATGTCCTAAACATAATTCTCTGAATAACAATTCTCATTAACTGTGAAACTGATTTTGATTGGTGATACCTCGATTTTGGTAAAATATCAAGGTATAATTTTGGTAAAATTAAGGAGCCTCTTTAGCTCAGTTGAAGAAGCAGTGGTCTCGTAAAGCAGGGGTCGTGAGTTCAAACATCACAGGAGGCATATCAATTTTGTTATGGGTGGTGGTTTAGGTTGCATCCAAAAGAAAAACCTCAGTGTATAAGTTTCACCTGTAAAGTAATTGTCTTACTATTTCGTGAAAATACATTGAATTGTTCAACACAAATTTCACCCAAACCAAAACTATTCATCGTATGTTGACTTTTTTTAAATGAATTGAAATTTTTATTCAATTTTCTTAAAGATAATCTCGACTGTCCTGAGCTTCGGGGTAAACTTAATTTCTTCGTTCTTCAGAGATGTACTAGAATAAACCAGACATATTACTCAAAAACCCACAGAACCAATCTTCTCTAGCAATTGTCGCTTATCTTTGCATGTTCTACTGCAAACCAAGGTATCAAGTTGCTGTGATTTGCACTGGGACTCACTTGTTTCTATCATTAAAGTGTGTATTTAAATTTTAACAGTGAGGTATCTTGATTTCTTTCGATTTGAATTCTGAGTGATTTGTTTTCTTGATTATTATTATGAGTGAATATTTAGACTTTGACATTATAGATTTAGATTATTATATTTGATAATGTTTATTATTATTATAATTATTTTTAATATTTTATATCTATGTTGTTATTGATGTTTTTAGTAACCATATTTATTCTTTATGTATTTTCCTGTAATTGGGAGTTACCTTTTGGAAATATATGCTTATATATTATTATTATTTTGGATTTTTTGCAATATATCAATAAAATTTGTCTGCAAATTTAACAAGAGTTAGGAACAATATTCAACGTGAGGAAGAGCTACTGATTTAAACAATGACAATAATGTACTAGTATCTAATCTTTGTCTTGCTCTGGTGATAAAATGAAATTCAGATTTTCATCTCTAATATATTTTGATTTGTGAAACGCGAGTTCTATACAGCAAAAAAGCTTCAAAAAAATAATAAATCAATTTATCGTCTTCGCTTCTCAAGCATATCAAAATATCACGCTATTGCCATCACGCTCAGTCTAGAAGCAACAAAAATTTTCTCATTTTCAGTATTAAAAGCACATAAAACAGAAGAACACCTTCATTTCCTGTCATTTAAACCGTTGCAAAAATAACTTGACAGGCACACAAAATATTGATCGGATGATTTCTTCAGAATTTTTCCACGTTCCTTTTCATTTAGTATCGTCGGTAAAGTCATCATATTCTATTATCGTTACATAAATTATATTATCGTTACATAAATTATATTGGATTAAAAACTGATGATTAACTCAATGAATTTACGTTTTGTCAATAAGTGTGAAACCTTTACATTCTGCTAAAACATTTGTTTCAGTTTTTTTTATCGTAATTTTGTATTTCTCAACAACCCAAAATTAATGGATAAAAGTTTATAAAATACGAAGTTTTTACTTTTGGTGTATATTACTACAACTAGCAGAATTTTCATTTCATAGTCGTTATAGTGATACCTTGTTTCAACGACCAGAATGAAGAACGAGTAAAAGAGTGAGATCATAATGAAACAATTGTTAAACAAAGATATACACATATATGTTACACATATATTAAAAAGAATACTGCATGACGTACGTTTCGATGAGATTCACCTTTTTCAAATGCTACGTGCAAACTAATATTGAAAAAGGTGAATCTCATTACCAGTATGCAGTATTCTTTTTAATATATGTGTATAGGTATCAGTTTAACAATTGTTTTATCATGTTTATCGATTTACATCAAGTATCGGCCTCATCAATTATTAGAGTGAGATCGGTTTAGATTACATGTCCAATCAAATTAAGCATTATCATTCTACCATTCAACTAATAGACCTCCTTCCATATTTAAGCTGGGATTTGAAGCCAGTATATTTTGTGCTGTTTAAGAGTTCAAAACGGAATGGCATAAGATGATCACGCCAAGGGAGGTTTGGCAGCGGATACCATCTGTTCCAAAAATTGTTGTTTCATTTCGAATCTCGAAAATTTTCATCGATAACTCAGAGGTAACATATGCCTTATATTTCATATCTTCATTTTTCATTCCTTCCGCTTACTTATTCCTGAAAACGATTTGAAGGATTTAATATAGATGTTTCAATTCATCCTCAGAGATCTGGATATCGCTTCGTTTCCTTTTTCGTAGTGCTGGCTGGACAATCGCAAATTCGTATCCTCTTCGAGAGGGAGAAATAAAATAAATCGACCACGAGAATGGTTGAAGTTTTACCGTTCGAGACTATTCTATAGAAAGTATTTCTAATAAAGGAAAAGTTTTCCTATATCCCTTTGCTTCAGTAATGCATTGGATACGTCCATCATTAATTCCAGATCGATGAAGAATTATATTGAAATTAATCTACAAAAAATTATATTTCGATTGAATGAATGTTGAAACCATATAATATTCCCGAAGAGATGTTTTTCTCGAAATAACTTAACCTTCATAATATATTCCTTACAAATAAGTCAAATGTTCTGATTCTTCTGTAAATGACGAACCAGGCTGAGCCAATTAACGTATTTTCATTTCAACCTGTTGTGAGAAAGGTGCTCATGGTAAATATTTCGTTTTTGTATATACCGTGTATTGTTCTGCAAATTTTAATTTTCTAAAAATAAGCGACGTTTAGCAAAACAACCTTTGCAAGTATGCATGAAATAGCCTTATCCAATGTATCCCCAACACCTTTTTTTACATCGATTTACCGGGTTACCTGTATTTCTAGTAGTTTTTACCCTAGGTGATATGAAGTAAAAATTTTCTGTATTTTCTTGATACTTTTTTGAATATTTTGTGGCATCACTGTCCCAAAAGTAGATCTACCTCTCCCGTAATTCTATGAACTTTCAATACTCTCATTGTTTGACCGATAAACACCAGCTAACAAAAGCAATCCAATAAAACTGAACATATCTGTACTGTCCATGTCAATACAATCATTATTGAACACACGTTTACCCCCAATGTTATATTTCAAAATAGTATACATCAGAGGAGAAGGAAAAAGCAATTGGAACTGAAAACTTCCTCCGTTGTAATCTTTGAACAAGAATAACGTGTCATGGCCTGGAATCATATTGATTATGTTTGCATCCGAAGTCCTTTCGTAAGTTGTCAAAGAGGTCTTTACTGCATTTTATTTGGCCATTTTTTAATGTTCTAGAATAGGAGCTGTTTCAGTATCATTTTCTGTACTGTTATTTGATGATTCTTCCTGCTCCACTACATCTTCTTGTTCTGAACAAGATTCTTCCTCGTCTAGCACGACATTCGAAAAATGGTCTTTATCACCGTCTTTCATTTTCTGATATCGATGAAACAACTGAATGATTTATTTATTAATAATTTATGAGGCCGATACTTGATGTAAATCGATAAACATAATAAAACAATTGTTAAGCCAAGATTTACACATATATTAAAAAGAGTACTGCATGACGTACGTTTCGATGAGATTCACCTTTTTCAAATGCTACGTGCAGACTAATGACATTTCTCGAATACATACAATATCTAAACTTAAATTATGAATACAGAGAAACAGGTAGATAACAGGTAGAAGGGATCAAATCCGTAACATAAACGTAGCTTTGATAATCAGAAGACAGATTCACATTATGCAAATCATTTTATTAATGAAAATCATATATTCAATTCCGATTTTGAAATTTTGAATACCGCAAACAAGGAAATGAAGCTTAATTTGTTAGAATCACTTCAAATTAATAAATACAAATATTCTGGCAACCTTTTGAACAGCCAAGTAGATCATACCTCAAGCCCCTTTCTCAATCTTTTCAAAATTACTCAGTTTACTATATAGTACTTCAGTATGAATTGATCCCTTCTACCTGTTATCTAACCTGTTTTCTCTGTACCTATTCATAATTTAAGTTTACCTATTGTATGTATTCGAGAAATGTCATTAGTCTGCACGTAGCATTTGAAAAAGGTGAATCTCATCGAAACGTACGTCATGCAGTATTCTTTTTAATATATGTATAAATCGTCGTTTAACAATTGTTTCATTATGATTTATTTATTTTAGACTTCGACTTCACTAGGGTTTCAAAGCAAGACTCAAACTAAAACGCATTTTCATTCGATGTTTACTGTGAGATTGTTTGGTACACTCAATGTTTACTCTGAAATTGTTATTGTGAGAACAAATCAGTCGCTCGCAAAAAAATATTTCGATAGAACCACCGTAATACAAAATGAAATATCATCATTTATACACAGGGTGAAATTTGACTCAAATAAGTATATATTGAACAAGTTTATGATTCTCTAAATGACTCTCTAAATTCTAATTTTTCCTTGATAAAACCTCAAATTATTATTTAAGCATTTCATTAATTGTCATAAAATATCAGATACAGAAAACGGATATAAATGTATGGAAATAATCAGGATTCTTCACAAAAATGGTCCAGAATTGATCCGAAGACCTTATAAAGGTTAAGTTTCTTGATTGAATATCCTAATTCTTCTTCTATCCATATATTTCAATACATCTTGTAGATTTTTCAGTGGCATTGGTTAAGAATCTTTGTGAGTTTCGAGAAGTATCGTCCAATTCAAAACTCTTGGGTAAATTCGATAAAAATTGCCTAATACGATTTGGTACTTTTGGAATTATACATAATCCCCACTCAGCAATAATCTATCAAGTTTTTTGTGAGAATACAGTTGACATCATTTGTGAATTTTGTATTTATAATGACAAGTATATATGCAATTATTTCCAAGCGCCCTAGTTCCAATCAAATAACTTCAGTGCACTTAAACAGTATTTAGTTTTCATTCTCTTATAAGGACAGTTTGTTTTTATTGACTTCGACTTTTTGAATGAAAGTTTCATGATTACATACCTTTCATTTTGAAAAGAAGTACGAGTACGTTTGCTCGTTCGAAATTATAATGATTTCAATTTCATATAAATCAACTGAAAATTGATCAAATGTGTTTCATTAGAAAATTTGTCAAGACTTAATAAATGCATGGTCCATTTTCTATTATATTGTTGTTAC